ACACATTATCAGTGAACCTGGATTAAATTTCAACATTGCAACTGTATAGCAAACCTTTTTCTGCAATTGAGGTCTTTGTGTATTACAGGTTAACACACCTACCAATTGTGCTGAAAGGAATACTCACTGCTGAAGATGCCCTATTAGGTCTAAAGGCAGGAGCTACAGGAATCTGGGTGTCAAACCATGGTGCACGTCAAGTGGATGGAGTGCCACCATCAGTATGTCAATCATACATTTCTTTATGAATCAGGAAACAATACAAATAGTCATGAATAATAAGAAAATCATACTATATGATCATTCCTCTCCCTTCCTTTTTCTTTATTTCATTTTGTTCTACCTTTTTTTCACTATACTTTCACTGCTCTCTGATTTATTCCCTATCTAGTATATCAATTCCAACTTTTAATTACCCTACTCTTGCATATGCCTTCCTTTAATCCTTTTCATGTTTATAACTTTCAGTATCCTTAAAACTCTACATTCTTAAATCTTCAGATTGAGGCCTTATCTGAAATAATAAAAGCAGTTGATGGAAGGTGTGAGGTATATGTAGATGGAGGATTTTCTGAAGGAACAGATATTTTCAAGGCCCTTGCTCTTGGAGCACGTATGGTATGTCTATCTAACTTTTGACATATAATTTGCCCTATGTGCCTACCCAGTATTTCTTTATCTGCTCTAGTAAAAACCAAATTGAACTATAATGAGGTGATGAAAGTTCTGTCATAAAATCAAGTAATGAAAGTGAAGTCTTCCAAAGTTTAAGCTTTATGCTCTCAACAGGTATTTTTAGGACGACCACTCCTCTGGGGCCTTGCATGTGGTGGAGAGGAAGGAGCTCTCAATATTCTCAACATCTTAAAAGGTGAACTGGATTCTACAATGGCCCTCTCTGGTATGTATTAGGCTAAAATTTCCTAAAACAAATATCATTTAATAAAAATATACATCAATAATTGCAAAATCTTATAAACATAAATTAATCATTATTGATTTGTATTCTCAGGGTGTGCAAGTATAAATGACATCACCAAAGATATGGTAATTCGTAAGGACCATTACTCTCGCCTCTGAAGCTGAATAACCCATACTTAAAGAAAATTGCACAAAATTCTTACACACATATAACAGATTATTGGTTGTACTTTCATGTTCTGCCCACAACCAGGTTTGTGGTTCATGACAGCCCTCTTTATGAATTTTATATACAGTCATGCTCTACTTGCATCTCCACTGAAAAAACAGAATCTAGATGTAACCAGACAGAAGGAACACAATCACAATATTTCCCTGCAGGCAATATTTGCATCTCTTGTTTACAAAGTGATTACAAAGCCAGACATTTGTGGAATGTTACCTACCAATAACAAAAAAATACATGGGCCTTACAATTATCATGAATGCATATGGTAGTGTGGTGTCTACATATCCAAAATATATAACTTCATAACTAAATTGTGGCCATAAAGCAACATAAGACTGTATTGTGATCACAACAAGGTTAACCCATTAACGCTGGTATATTTTGAAGCCGAAAATAAAAGATTACAGGCGGCTATAAAATCGGCAGGCAGAGCTGCCCTGGCCTCTGTCTACCTGCCGACCGCGGCCCACTGCTGTGTCCGGAGCGTGAGCCCCAATAAAGCATCACACTGGTGGGACACCCGGCAATGTTTATTTTTTGGGGTGTCTCATATGTGGGACACCTGTCGTTAGTGGGTTAACTAATCCGGATGCTAGCAACCTTGAAGACTGTATATTTGCTATAGAAATATCACAATAAAAGATGTATTATTAATTCATAGTCAGGCTCAATCTTGGGCCAAGGCATTGTACAATGCTCCTTACCCAAGTGGACACTGCTACTGATGTATCATATTACACAAAAGAAATGTATGAATAACAAAATGATTTTAAAATTTATATTACAGTATTTTAGTGTAATTAAGTCAATGACTTAATATAAGTTATCTAAATCTTGTAGTATTACTAAAAGAAGCTTTCTATAGAATAACTGATATTTGGCACAATTATAAAATTTACAGTCAGAATTATGCATTTCGATAATTAAGTATGTAATCACCTCTCTTTCTGTCTTTGACTCTCTTTCACACATGCACGCACACCACTTCTGCAACTAAATCTTATTATGAAAAGCACATAACCAAGAATGTATTGAATCAAGAAACAATACCTTTCCGTAACTACATTCATTTTAAGGTGATTGGGTAATTAAATTTTCTTGTAAACTGATTGAAAAAAATAAAACATTCCAAATATGCTGCTTGTACCTTTTATGTACATATTCCTTACAATCATTGTTAAACATAAAACTTGTACATACTTATAAATTCATGTCTCTTTCCAAGTCATACTTCTTGCTTCCAAAGGAATTACTGTATCTGCATTCCATACTAGTTTGGAAAGTTCTACCTACAATTCAATACTAAAATATAAGAAATATCTATTCATTCCATAAAAATAAATTATTTCATTATTACAATTATGAACCTAACTAAAACAGTTTCATGATGGTTATCATCATCATATGATTATCAACAAAGGCATCTATAAATTCTGGTATTGTATTATTACAGCCTGCTGCCACTACTTTACAAGGTTCACTTAAAACTACCCAGTAATCAATCTATGAGAGATTTTCTCAGATTAAAAAAATAATGAGATATTTATTTGGCGACATTTCACTTGTAAATGTAATCATTGTTTTCTTTGGCCTCTTGTCCACCATTTAATATTTATATTCTTTTTCATTAGAGATAATGTTATGTAACTGGAAGTTTATTGGTTAATAACTGGCTTGCCAGAACAATTATGCCAAATCACAGATAAATTATGGTAAAAATTCTGGCCCAGACTGAAGGTTATATTAGCTTTTGATGGTGAACCATGTCCACTTGAAGATCAATTAAAGGATTTATAGCTATAATCTTTGTATCAGACAAGAGCATGTTGAAGACGCTTGACTGGTTACTGAACAATATTTACACTAGTACCCCATCATTCATATGATGGGATGTGTTATTAATCCATAGTCAGGCTCAACCTTGGGCCAAGGCATTGTACAATGCTCTTTACCCAAGTAGACACTACTACTGACGTATTTCACACAAGAAAAAATGAGAGCATATAAAATCAAATGATTTAAAAGCACAAACACAATTAATCATCTCAATACATCATAAGATAGCAGTTTGCTAGATGATAATGTATCGATGTATATATGGTTATAAAAAATATTTCTTACTGTTATTTACAATCATCAATTATTTAGATCATCAAAAGCAGAAAAGTCTAGAAATAGCCTGTGGTGTGTTACCAATTGTGACAGATTGTTTGCCTATTCCTCTGAACATTTTATCCCCTTCTGTAGAGGGCTTATCTAGTTTCATTTGTTACAGGATATTGGATATATCAATCATATATAAACCATAATTTACTGAGTATTATGCTTTATGTTTGGCTTCATTTATTCCTATCTAGTTTCTGTTTGCTGCAAATTAAAGATACATGTATTGGTTGCATTCAAACATATTATTATTACTTTGAATACAATGAAATGTCAGTTATAAATTAAGAGTAAATATTAATAAAAGAATAACCATTTTTTTATAATAGAACTTTCTATTCATTGTTACACCTATAAAATCAGTTAAAAAATAATCAAAGGCCACTGGAAAAAGAATGCAAAAACAATGGTAGAGCCAAAAGAGTTCATGAAATAATTGGTAAATTTACCGCAAATAACAATCAGAGTTACAGTAAAAAAAAGTGTATGGAATGATTACCTTGACATAAACTAAGACACTTTTCATCTATGACAGAAGGTGCGCAAATCGAAAATAAAGGAGATACATGACAGAGAAGTGAGAAGATCAGCCCATCTTTCTCTAAATTCTTCGGCATGTTGACATCACGAATTTAAACAAAATTATGACCACTTAACTCCTTCCTGCAATCTCTAAAGTAGATTGTGTATTACTACGCCATTGTCAAAACGATATTTGGTTAATTATCATTGTATGCTTTTCCACATTTATGACTTCAAAGGCCTTTATTAATGTCATTATACCTCATTTATGTGTTTTAAGATCTATTAGACAGTGATTCCCGGGATTTTGGTGACAGAAAGCCAGCGACAAATATGACAATGTTTTCGTAGTTGTGTCGAATCTAGGTTATTGTTAAGACTATACAGTGGCAACAAAGAAGAAAAAGACCTTAATAACTATCACAGTTTGATTTCTGAGGCCATCAAGTACCCCAAATCCTGAAAAAAGTAATAAAAATGAAGCAATCCACAACAGACCGACCAAAAGTAGTGAAGGAAAATTGACAGTTTGGTCTTGCAATATATAAAGGTATTTGGTTTATTGTTTACAGTATAGATGCAGCTCTATCTTGCCATACATATCACGGTGAAGAGAATGTATCCTAGGGGGTGTTGGGGGGCAGAGCTCTCCCATCAACCCACCCCTCGGGTAGTGCACAACTTGTCACGGCACTATCAATTGTTAGTTTATGTTGGGTTATGGGTCAGTATGTTTTTTGGGGTTTGGAAGGTGTGAAATCCGGTAGATTTTGCCAAAAAAAATGGGTTGGATTCCTGGAGAGTTTTTCCAATTTCGGCAAATCCGTGCGTATACTTTCAAAGGTGGCAGGCATGTCCGTAGTTTCATTAGCGTTTTTTGTGCTAGTTTTACGCATTTTGTTCGCCATTCTTCTTATTTAAGCCTGTTTTACCCTATAATTTCCCTGATATACTTCATGCCCTCCCCTGCTATCGGGACTTGACCCATCACCATCCAGCTGTGATTGCTAGGGAAATGATCATTAGATTCATTCTCGTCACATGAGAATAAATCTGATGACATAAATATTGCATAGGAAGTCCCAATTGTAATAATTGAAAAAATAACCAAATAATTCATGACTAAATTTTCCCCACCCCTTGATCCTGTGACCACTGGTAGAAA